TATTCAGGTTAGGATACTGGTACCGAAATATACCGGTTTTCATTTCATACCCAAAAATAGCGGTACCGAAATTAAATTTCGATACCGAAATTAAGCGGTAACCGTTATTTAACGGTATGACGTCATACCGCAATTTAAAGGTATCGTAATTTTTCGGTTATTCAGTCCCTGAATAGGTGAGCCTATTGTCATATACCAGGCATAATTCTAAACTCCGTGCTACCTATTACTGGGTTTTGAGCAAAGTTCCAATACTTTGCCCGACCCAGGAATCTAACCCGAAACCCTTGTCCAGCAGTCCTATTTGCGATTTCTCGACCAACGAGGCAGGCAGCAGCAATAAAAATATGAAAAAAAATTGTAGTCGTACCAATCGTAGAGATAGACACAGAACCCAAAAATGTGTTAAAAAATTGTCTGTTTCTCTGTATGTTGACACAAAACGCAAAAATCACCGTCCGATTACGATGATGTTTAGTATGATTATGATTTAATAACCTGGGCATCTCACTGGACACTTGTACAGCGAGATAATAGCTTTACGCTAAAATCCTACTGTCCAGGACTACCTAATCCTAATGACTACTAGCTAACGTTATCCTAGCTAATCTAACACTTATAATATCCTATCCTAGATCCTTTAAGCCAAATTACCTATGTAGTCTAAATCCTATCCTATCTACCTATTCTACTAGCAATGGGTAGTTTGTAATGTAAGTTGTTTACTACTTCGACGTACGAACTATCAGATAGGTAAGAAATGAAAGAAGTAACCAGTCTTGTCTTCTAATATCAAACAATAATCTTTTAGTAAAGTTATCTCGGTTATCTAAACAAGACGCGATTGCCGATGTATTGTGGTGACTAATTTTGAGAGGTTTAGGTTTACCGCACTGCTGAAAATAAATAATGATATTAGGGGTAAGAAAACTAACATTAACTTAACATTAGGTTATATTTATTTGAAATAATCACAATTAGAGCTGAATCTGTAGAGAATTACAGATTTCTGTAGTCCTAAGTAGTATTTCATACAAAAATATTATTACATTAATATTTATCTTCTAATAGTAAAGTAGGAAAGTAGTTATATAGGCACAGGCGTGGCGTCGTCCAAATCAGCGGCATCGGCCAAGTGGTCTCGCAGCGCCGCTGCCAACGCGCTGACGAAGCTCGGCAGGTCCGGCACCGCGCGCCGCGCGTGCAGCGCCCGCGCCAGGAACGGCAGGCGGCGCAGCGCGCGCCCCGACACGGCCGCGTCCGCCGCCGCGCGCGCCACCGCCCACAG